CCCCTAATCTGCAGAAACAGAAATCGGATTCGGATCTGCACCTGATCTGCACTCCCTCGGGCTGCAGGCCTTGCAGCTTTCTCGAGTCATGCTTTTTTAGTTGTTTGCAGTGTTTCTACCTTTCTCTTGTGAAGCGATAGGCCGCTGGGAGGAGAACTAACAAGTAAGCTGCTAGCTCAATAAGCGGTAGTAGTGGTGGTAGTAGTAGTAGTAGTAGTCGTAGTGTTAGTGGTAGCGGCAGTGGCAGTGGTGGTGGTGGTGGTGGTGGTAGTAGTAGTAGTAGTAGCAGTAGTGGTAGTGGTAGTGGTAGTCGTAGCAGTAGCAGTAGCAGTAGCAGCAGTAGGAGTAGTAGTAGTAGTAGTAGTAGTGGTAGTAGTGGTAGTAGTGGTAGTAGTGGTAGTAGTGGTAGTAGTGGTAGTAGTGGTAGTAGTGGTGGTGGTCGTAGTAGTAGTAGTAGTAGTAGTAGTAGTAGTGCTAGTAGTAGTAGTAGTAGTAGTAGTAGTACTAGTAGTAGTAGTAGTAGTAGTACTAGTAGTAGTAGTACTAGTACTAGTACTAGTACAGCAGTAGCAGCAGCAGCAGTAGTGGTAGTGGTAGTGGTGGTGGTGGTGGTGGTAGTATCGATTAGCCGACTAGCCTGGGACGCACTCTCTGCTCAGGCTTCGCGTGATTAATTTGGTTCCTAGACTTTTGGAAACTGAACATTATTGGACCCAACTACTTGCAAGTCCAAAACTCCAGGTATGCCTTTCAATGAATTCAAGAGGTAGATTCTACGGCTGATATTGTGCTTTTGTGTTAATTCCCATTTGGAGGACTATCATTCATTACTCACGGAGAAAAAACTGTCCTAAGCCCCTGCAACTCAAATCGCTGGGTACCCACCTGAAAGGAGCAGCCACTGGACTGGAAGTGGTGGCAGCAAGCCCCAGTCGGCACCTATCGAACATCAATGTTAAGAACTCATATGGCTAGCATGTCACCAAACATGTTTCGCAAAATTACCCCGTTTACACACTCAGATCCTGGCACCATGTGCAAAGACGCGGAAGGTGTCAAACCTTCGCCTTTCACCTGGAGGTGCAAAGGCACCCAACAAAGAAAGAATCGTGCAAGATTCTGGTCCAGCGGTTAGGTGCAATTAGTGCAATTCCTGTTTTTCATGCACTGGTGTGCGGTTCATGTTTCTGTGTACTGTATGCAGTTAGTGTCACATCAAGACAAATATATAGTATATAAGATCCACAAGGATGGTCCGAATTAGTGTTTGGCAGTTGGGAAGGAGAAGAATTAAATAGAACCAACCAAATGCCCAGCTGGGCACTCAAATGGAAATACGACGATACGACAAACAAGAACGCGGACGCGGACTGTGCCAGCAGCGACAGCCGTTGCTTTTGTCAACATTGAACCACTCACGCAAAGCAGCAAATCCAGAATGCGAAGGGTGACTTCAAGGGGCTGCCTTAGACTGTGTTAGAGCATTTAGGAACCAAACTCACAGCGCTTGAGCCGCCAAAGCTGAGGGGGCATGAAATAAGAAAAAATATATGAATGAATGAAAGTTTAGAAAGAAAGGTGTCCTCAACCCCCCTGTCAAGATATATGCAGAGACAAGGGAGTGCAGCACGAACCACGACTAGAAGTGGACTCCACCTGGGGAGGGGCAAGAAGAAGAAAAGAAAAAGAAACAGAACAGGAAGAACAACAACAACAGCATGAAAATACACGAACACGTGGTTTGGGCCTTGGCATGCACTAAAGTCGCCCAAGAATAGACTTGACTTCCAACGAGGAGACAATGTCAGGATGTTCAGTGTTCTTGTGTCTGCGCTTCTTTGAGGCAAGGTTTATCGCTTTTGAGGGGGGGCCTATTGCTTTTGCAAAATCACCAAATCCATCAATGCACCACTCTTTTCTATATATATATACTGTAGGTCCTGGCATGTTTTGGCACGTTGCTCATATGGCTGTGGGTCAAAACAAGGAGACCTTGGTTGACCTACCGACGAAACTTGCGACTGTCTGCGCGCATCCGATGGCCCTTCAGCTCAGCTGGGTGCCTTGAATTCTGGTACATATCCACTCTACGAGAAAAATGCAATGAACAAGAACACTAGTTGACCTACCTGGAAGGTCAAGCTACATGGTGGACCAGGGCTCCAGGTTTTGACCCTTCCCGGATCCATATAATTGGCAGGCTTGGCTTCTGGCGTGGTAAGGCACCATATCGAGCATTTTCATGCGTTCATCATCCGCTTGACACTGAGCTTGATTTGTGTGATCCATGATCATTCTCCAGAGCATCCGATGCGATGGAACGAGCTTGGCTGACAGTCCATTCTGCCGAGTTGATGGTTTTCTGGCTACTTGCGTAAGAGGACAGGACAGGAAAATACTCTCACAAAGTTCTAGTCAAAAGAGTTGCTGGTGCTGAGTGCTGGTTAAAATCTACTCTTTGAAGATGTACACTTTGGATGGGACAGCTATTGATAAAAATGTTGTTCTTTCACAGCAGTTTGGAGCAGGATTTGCTCCAAGGCCAAGCAGTACGCATCGACCAAAAGAAGCAAACCAGAGAAAGCAAAAAGGCAAACAAAAAAGGAAAATGTGATGCTTCAAATTGGACTCCCTGAGCGATTGTGTCGCTTTACAGAGTGCGAGACATCGCGGAAAGCAAATGCAAGCAAGCAAAAAAATAAAGGTCACCATGCCAAGGAGGTTTCAAGAACATTCGAGAGACATTTTTAAGACATCATTGACGTCATCTAGATCAGATTCCCACCTGAACTTTCATCTCCCCGGATGCAGCAGAGGTGTGATAGAACCTAGGCAAAGCTCTTTTCTGAAGCTCTTTTCTGGATAACTGCATTTTGACTCAAGACAAAATGTCGTACAAAGTACAAAGTAACAAGAATGCCACTGAGAGCACAAATGAAACTTGTTCAATCAAGTTCACCACGGATTTCCACCCCAAAGCAGAAGATGTCTCCCGCCAACAGTAGGCGTCTGCCAAAAGCAGAGGGCTGCAGGTCACAGCTCTACCCTCTGACAGACAAGTAAAAAGAATTCATCTTGAAGCTTTGTGGTCATCCAAGCCACTCTGCTCAAGTGAAAAAGCTTTCTTTGCCTCTGCCCAAAGGTAAGGATCGTCCTGTGCCTCGACACAACATCTCAATCTGTGCAAGATCTCTCTTGGCATTGCAAAGTGTTCCTTGTCTACAATTCACCATTGCATGTTGTATACTGCCTGCAGTGTATGAAACCTCCAATCCCGATCTGACCTACCTGGCTCAACTAGCTAGGATCGCTGCACTGCCGGAGACATGAACTGAGCAGGACGTGATACCGTTGCATATTCATGCCAAACAAAGACCTTTTCGTACAATACAGAAGTATTGGAGTCCATTCTGTATGTTTGGGCGAAATAGATGGAAAAGTTCATGTGTGATTGTGTAAATTGGAATACTCTCTTTGGAAAGTAAGTGGCCCTGGAATATTGAGTTGAGCCATCCACTGAGCCTTCCTGAAAACCGGCGCCATCTACTCACCACATGGGGCAGCAAGGCATATCAGCCCTGATAGACTAAAGTAAAAAAGTAAAAGCAATCGAAGAAATTGCACCATTCCGATCTTTTCTTAACATTGGGAAACACTGCTAATATTACCATTCAAGTATTCGTTCACTCATCAATTTGGCGACATAAAACTGAGGAGTAGATGGCCCAACTCTTTCGACAGATTCTTTCTCTTGCACTTTGGCCACGGTTGCGTCATCTGCTGGCCCTTGTTCCCGGCACTTTCAGTGGCAAGGTTGGGCCACAAGAACATGAACACCCACGACCCTTTCCCTTGTCTTTTTCTTTTCCTTTTCACTTTTCCATTTTCCTTGCCCTTTTCCCTTTTCCTTTTCCCTTTTACCATAGCAGAAAGCAAAGGACATGTTTACAAGTTTGAGCCAAGTAGATGGCGCATCATTTTTGGCACTGACAAGTCCTGCCGCCACAAAAGCAGTTTTTTGTTGTGGCCTGGGTTTCATTTTCGGGTGGGTAGATGGCGCTCTCTTCCAAATTGGGGTTGCGCCACTTACTTTTTAAGGAGTGTACAAAAACATACAAATAAGAAACCGAATACTGTAGTTTATGAGTGGATAACCATGGGCATTATGCCACAACACCACAACTGTATGAATTACCCGTTACCCAATGTAATTACTTCCGAAAGAGTCTTATCAAGTTTCCCTAACTATGTGTTAAAAGGTTCGGTAATGTTCGGTATGTAGAGACTCTTGCCTGGCCTATATAGTTGGGTTCGGATCGTCCAGCAGCTCTTGCGAGAACTTCTGGGGATCGTGCGCGTGTCCCAAGACCAACCCGTGATCGCAGGACAAGATCCTGGCAAGTCTTGGAAACTAAGGTAAACCCTTCGGAAACCCTTGCAATTCTTCAACCACTACATCGCAGTCACGCTTAGCCAGCTCAGCCGGCCTACTGTTCTTACTGTCGTTCCAAGGATCTCTGCAATCTCAAACCAAGCAAGTTCTTACAGTAAGTTGAGCTGCACCCGTCTGCCCAATGTGGAAAGAGGTATGTTGAGCACTCCGGTCCCCGTTGCCAATTAAAGTCAGAAGGCAAGCTCAGAATAGTAGGCCGCTTCGTGGGGAAAATGCAACGCGGTGCTCGACAAAATGGCAAACTGGATTCTACACACCCAGCCAAGCAAGTCTGACTGACACCTTGTGCGGCGTTGCAAGAACATTTATTCACTTTGAAAGCCATGGCCTTAGCCCTTTCTCATTATATAATCAGTGTCTCCTCACCACGTCGCTCGACCACAGCGTGCGGTTTAGACCTGCAGATCTTGCTCTCCCTCTCCCTCTCTCTGTCTCTGTCTGAAGTACTGGTGGCAATAAATCGAAAACAAAACACTTGAAAACTATATTCTTGGACATATAGGTGCTTCGAGCCATTTTTGCGACTGTCATCGCTGCAATGTCGTCTTCAAGAAACCACTTTGGTTGCACTCTTCTCCGCTTGAGTTGCTTCTGTTTCAGTGGCTTCCAGAATCTCATCTTTGACTTTCTCCTCTTCTTCCAGAATCTCTTGCTCTGTGTCCTTCACTTTCTTCGCTGCTGCAACTGTCTTGTTTACCTTCACATCAGTCTTCAAGAAATTCTTGACCTTCCATTCCACCTGCTTGCTTTGCTCCATCAGAATCCGCTCTGACATGGTCAAGTTTGCCTGGATGTGGGCAAAGTGGTTCTTGAGCCTCTGAAGCCTTCTGAGCAAGACAGTGTTTTCTATCATGTCCTGAGTGGTGTATTATTCGTGAAAAAACAAGGTCAAATCACCAAGGAAGCATTATATGTCTGTTTCACCCAAAGGCTTGAGGAAAAAAAGCAATCTCTCCGAGCATCCATTTCGGCAGCATGTTTCACAGCTTTGTTGAGCTGTCTTACCACCTTCGCAAACTCCAAGCGTTGCTCCTCCGAGAATTCCCCTGTTTTGCCTGGTGGCCCTGGCGGCCCAACATCACCCTGCGGGCCCGGCTTGCCCATATCACCCTCAGGGCCTGGCTTCCCAGGTGGACCAGGAGGTCCGACGGCATCTTCCAATTCGAGGTCTTCAATGCTTTCAGCTACGGTGTCATCACCAGGCGGTCCAGCCGGTCCTGGTGGGCCTCGGAGACCCACTAAACCAACATCCCCTGCAGGACCTTCTTCACCTTGTTGGGTCCATACTGTCTCCACATTTTCAATCTCATTGGTGGCATCTACCACCGGGATCTGCAAGGTTCTCAACTTCTCACCAGCGGCTGCTTGCAGCTCTGACAAGCTTTTGAAATGTGTAACTTGCATCTTTGCAAGCTGTGACCTCAATTCAGTGGCTGCAGAAGATGAAACCATTGCATTTGTCTCTGCACGGCTGGATTCAGCAAAGGCATTCTCTCTCCTCAGCCACTGGGAAGATTTCGCCTCCGCATGTTCTGCTTGGACAAACGCGGCATTCACAAGGAAGAGCACGAACGTACGGCGCATGACCGACTTACCTGAACAAATCAGCCCAGAATAGATTGGGCTTCACATATGCCTGAACTTGAGCCCGCACAGGTAGGTCCACCGCTGCTTCAGAACCAGCCTACTTAGTTGAAGTTCAGATTGCAACAATCGTTGAATGTTGAGACGTGTGGCTTAAAAAATAACAAAACATTCAGAAATTTGAAACAAACCTGACAGACCCTAAACCATTCTGAGGACAGCTCGACATCTTGAAACAAAGAGTATCTGGACGAGTGTCCTCACACTATCTTCCAAGCAAAAGCCACATCAAATGTCAATGTCAAGCTCTGCAATGTGTGCAGCTTGTTTTGTTGATGTCCTCATGATGGTCACCGCCTGACCGGAAGGTTACTTCATGAGGTTCAGTTGCCGCTCGGGGAATGTCAACCTGACTGGTGCTGGCGTGGCATACTGAGCACAACAACTTTTATACATCAAGGTTCAGGCTCTGTAGATACGTGTCTCTTGATTGAAGCCCCCAAAGTCCTTGGCGGGCGACAAACATCGGCTTTATCGACCTGCTTTGCAAACGAGAAGCAAAGTGATACTGTGTTCAGTCCTTCACACGTCGTTCCCGGCGAATGCCTTTGTGACCACCATAGAAGAACCTGAGAAAAGTCATTCTGGTGGACTTGATAACTGCACGTGTTGCCTCCCTCACTGAATGGGTTTGGGAGAAGGTTGTGAAGGCTCTAACTTTTCCAACTTCACCGCCATTGGGATGTCGATGTGTTTCCCAGGTGGCTTCTGCATCTCCTCACAAAGACAAAAACATGTTCCAATAAAAACATGCCAACAGTGTTTTGAAACACAAATGTGTTTGGTTTTAGAATGTTGTGTTGGGTTTCAAGACTTCAAAGGCGGGTAAGTATTGTATATACTGTAATGGTCTGTCAGAGACTGGTGTGACTGGTCTGTGGAGTCGCATCAATGTCACCTGCAGCTTCTTCAGCACTTCGCTGGCATCGAAGTGTGCACGTGTCTTTGGTTTGAAGCCGCTCACCTGAAAACACAACAATTAGAAAGGATCGAGCAGCATTGCGTTGTCTGCAGCCTGTGTTGCTGTCTACAAACGGTTCTATCAAATCGATTCATTCCCGTGCTTCCAGCTTTGAATATGCTACGATACTGACTCCAGCAATTGGCACCGACATAAAATATAATATACATATTTGGGATCATGCCCCATATATCCCCAAATGAATAAGTATATTACAGACGCAAAGGCCACAAAGCCTCGAAAGATGCTTTGTCTCTGTCCCGCTCGCGATCATACCTAGGCACCATAGAGTTCGTCAGCCATCAGCAAAGTGCGAACCCCAAACATGCATGGCTGTCACCGTTGCCGTGAGTTGAGTGGGCATTGGTACCACACGAACTTTCAAGTTGCCAGCTGCAACAATTGCAAACTCATTGTAACTTGGTGAATGCAGTGTGCCCCACCAAAGTCTGAAAAAGAATGAAATCAACTTGGAGCATTGAGGCCACCAGACAGGGACTGTCAGCAAACGGAGTCATCCTACTGCGAATACTTGCAGAGTGGAGGCTGTGTGGTGGTGCCAAAACTATTTGTTTGTTTTGTATGCATTGACAATTGAGGACGTCCCCTACCGTGTTGTTCAGGGTTTTGGTCTTCCTCATGTTCGTGAAACGTGCTCTCCTTTTGGCCCGGCTCCGCACATATGCGAAAAGCCTGAAACTTTCCGCTCCTGTTTGTGTGTGTGGCAATCGTTTTTAGGACGTCCCCTATCGTCTTTCGAGGAAAACACAAAAAACACTAGCTGCATCAAACATCCCAGCTAAAACTACATGACGATAATTGTGTCTCTGTCTCATGTGCTCAACGAAGTGTGCTTGTTTCTTTACAACCTGTGTCTTCATTTAACTCTCACAAAACTGGATCTCCAAAAAAATGTGTTCCAATAGCAAGCCCTAGAGCGGCTCAAAATATCTAAATATGTGCGCGCTGTGGCTTGTTGTGGACTAAATGTCCAAAGCACAAGCTCAAGAAGCAATGCTGCCAACACACATTGCTCAAAAATGATCGGTTGGTTTGTCCATTTCATCGAAAGGCTGGAAAATGTCATAAAAACAAACCCTGCTGAGCTTAGAGCTGGCGTCTGGTGGGATTGTCACTCAAGGTGAGGTAGGCATTCTTTAGCTCTATGAAGATCGCTGCGTACCTGGGCTTAGAGCTGCAATGAAGCTACTGGGGCAAGCTTTAGACTGAGAAAAAATAGTTTGTCCGATTGTCGATTTGACTGAGTTCATTGAATGCCCTTGTATGAGGCCAAGTACAAGATCGCAACACCTATATATGTTTTTGTTTGCAAACCTCAAGCTTGATATGCTCCGCAGGCTGACACAGTAACCAGGCCTGTTCAAACAGATCCGCTAAATGACCTTTGCGGCTTTCCATGTGGACAAACAAGCTGAGGAGATGGCTCTTCCTTCTGGTCTGCACCCATACCAGCGGTCTTGTCAGGGTGGTACACCAACGACAATTTCTTGTATGCCTGAGTCGAGTCTTGACAAGACATGTCGCTCTCTCGGGATTGACTTTCTTCTTGTTAAATCAGGGAAATCTCAAATAAGTTTCTGCCAAAACGTACTGTCAAGTTGAGGACATGATTCAGCAAGGAAGAGGCAAAGCAACTTCAGAAGAGGAGAACTTTTTTGGAAACAGGCTTATCGCCTTATCGCTTTTGAGGGCCTATCGCTTTTGCAGGTTTTAGCCCAATTCCCGAAAATCACGACCGCTCTTTACTAAATTAGTCATTGACGTGTTGCCGGTTGCTCAAATGCTCGTCTAGAATCTGCAAAGGTGTGAACTCTCCTTGGCTTTTGGGCTTCGTCCAACTTCGAGGAAACCACAAAAATTGATTGTCCAGGGAGTGTAAACCATCTGAGAATGGGCTTCAAACTTCTGAGATGATGAGTGTGCTGACAGTAAGTTTTGCGCTGGCCCTGAACACCTTGCTTCTAGGTATCAGGCTGCTACAAAATGCATGAATCGTCTGAAACCAAATTCGTTCTAGGATTCTCTGACAACAACATCGGCACAGAAGCGGATTTTTGCCACCAAAACTACGTGCAGCAAATCATATCAATGTCAACATCATCCAACATCATACCAATAGGATCTGAGGGACATCCATCCTCGGCCCATCCCTGATACACCCGCACCCGTCAAATGCCTTCTTGACCTCCTCCTGACTAGCATATTCATCAATGCCAAGCACCTCGCCCAAGTATGACTCAACTGGCTTTGAATTCATACTCGGGTACTCTAGATGGCACTTCTTCTACATCAGTGTCAACATGTTCAGGTTCAAAAATATTGGCGTGGCCGCCTGCACGTGGCAGAGTGCATTCCAACAAGAAACAAAGCTTTGGAGCCAGCAGCATCAATCAGAGTGGCAAGTTAGTATGTTTTGCCACAACCACACCTATGGCTCCGGCTATTCGAGAAAGTTAATAGTTACCAGCTCCCGGCTACCCTTTCACATGGCCCATGTTGCACGACAAATCGCATGTCCATCCGAGCTGGTGGAACCAAGCATTAGCAGAACAGCGCTTTGAGTCAGCGGCCTTGTAGTAGTTGATGCCTCAGCAGTTCAAATTACCTATCCTATCCATATACAACCATAGCTGCCCGGCTTGGCTACCCTCAAAATCATCCAAATGCCCTGTCTTTTTCATATAACTTAAAACCCAAAGACTGGCGTTGATGAGTGATGAGCCGCTCTCAGCTTTCAAGAACTTGTTGGCGCTTTGCAAACCACGATCCACTATACTAGTGCTATCTACTGCCAGTACCCATCCCTCGCTTACCTGCGCGCTTCTGGTCGGATTCATGCTGCTTTAAACGCATTCTGAAACCGTCACCAAGATACAGCGGTCGAACTCGTGAGCTTTCGGAGCACCAAAATCGTCATCCTGCACATGACTTGTTCCGACTACAGTAGAAGAAGACAGGCTGCTAGCCGTTGGGTACACGGAAGATGACACCCAAAAAACCTAGTGTCAGAAAATGATGAGAGACGTGTCTCACCAACACGGCACAGTCGAGGTTCATGCTAGGCAGAAATGCGTGTTAGCTACGAAAGCTCAAACAAGCCCCAGCACAAGTTCTTGAAAATCTGAAATGCGTGGGATCCCATTGAAAAAAGTGACGTCGATATGAGGTCTGGAGTGCGCCAACTCAGTCCGTAGGTTTAAAGGATGGATCGGTCTTCTTCCGCTTTTCATCTCGATCACAAGTGAAGGTCCAGCATAAGTCCTGCAAGTCGCGATCCGGCATCAATTGGGCATCGTCTCGAGATGTCTCGAGTGTCAAGAATCAACAGATCATAGGCTCTTTGCATCGGGGACCTCTTTAGACCAGCGGCGTGCAGCCCGTAGTATGCTGAAGTAGAGGAGTAAGGGGTAAGAAGCAGCTTAAATATATATATATATATATGAGGGACGGTCAAAACTCCTTATTCTTCTTCAGCAAAAAAAATGGACGTCATCGGTTTTGAGTTGGACCTTATCGTTTTACAGTGTTTTGAGTTCGTCGCATACTTATGATCATATACAGCGCTGGGGTTATCGGTTTTGAGGTGGACCTTATCGTTTTGCAGGGTTTTGTGCACAAACCTACCCCTCTTTACTAAAGTGGTCTTCGCATGTTTTGACCGTGGCTCATATATCAACAATAACCATAGTAATAATAGTATATAATGAGCAACATCAAAACATATTCATAAATAGCTTTAAGCAGCGAATAGGCTGTGACGCTCTCTCTGCTCAGGCTTCGCAAAAAAAAGAAATGCGTTAGAAAAACTCGCAAATGCAATGTAGTGTTGCGCCTCTGTCTTCCGCACACCCTGCATGAAAGGGCTATTCTGGAATGCCCTCAGCCGTGCTGCAACCAAATTGTCAAGACTGAGACCGCTTTGGCAGTCGATGACGAATAGAATGAGTAGAAAGTAAGG